GCAATAAAGGCGTTTTTGCGGCTGGCCGCGTTCCGATGAATTTAAAAATCGCAAATTGGATACACGCAACCACCGCGGAATCGGAAAAATGATCCGACCGGGCAAAAAATCCGGCCGACGCGCACGCAGTCCTCGCTGCGCTGAGGAGTGCTCCTCTCGGCCGAGCGGCACTGCGCCGTTCGCGGATTCACGGTGCCCAGAATTTTGATAACGAGGGGACGAAGGTTTGCGTTTCGATGCGGGGCGAACCGGCAGTAGGATTCCATGGTTGGTAATCGACGGTCGGTCGTTGCTTGGGAATAATTGAGTCTCAACTGGCTTCGGAAGCGGTTCTATAAAGAAAAATCGGGAATAGGTGTTTTGGCTTGTGAATGATTGCACAACGGAAGCTGTAAGGGCTGTATGATCTGGAGAAAATGAAGAGTAGATTTGATAAGTAGAAAGAATAATATTTATTTGGTTAAAATTTAGGAAATTGGGAAATGTCAGGAAGTTAAGCGCATTGGCTTCTGAGCGACTCAGTTGTGATAAGATTGATGTCGAATGGAAATATTCAGTAAGGTAACTAGATAGGGTAACTAATACAGCTGTTACGATGGAGTTTTGAAAGTAAATATTGAAGTTTTTGTTAGAGAAGAATAGTAATAGGGACAAGTTTCCGGAGTGTTACTCGTCATTGTATGGTAAGGGATTGAAGCGGTAATTTCGAATCAATTGACTGTTCGTTTTGGTCTTCCCGTGAACGTCGTTCCCGAGGGGAATTCGGTTCGCCGTTTATTGGCGATTAAATGGTCCCCGCCGAGATTAATCGAACAATATAAAGTTCAGCGTAACAAGACGAACCGGAGTTGAAGCTTTGATTATTGTAATCAGGCTAATAGTTCAATTCCCCGCGAACTTGGGGGAAAGCCTTGATACAGCACTGCCCGGATAATGTCGTTTCATGCGTATAAAACGGAGTGCGCACGTGGGCGGGACAGGTTGCGCATGTGTTCATTACCGGCGATGCGTTGCCATCATTAATATTGAGAACGATGCCTTATACAGCGACTTTATACGCGATAGGCACACCGGGCGCACACACATTAAACGGAAATTTCAGTCTCGATCAATTGAATTAATGCCGTGGCTGGCTCGGGTCAGGTCGCCATTGCCGTCCACGACCTGTCCCTAATTAAATTAATCCATAATCTTCGAACGAACGATTTGTCCGAAAGCAATCGAACATTTTTTAATACCCGAATCACGCATCTGAGAGCATTAGAAGAATGATTGGTAAAACCCAAATTCTATCCATTGAAATATATAATATATCAGTGCGATGAGAATTAGGAACAATAAGACACCTATTAACATCACGCGTTCAAAGTTAAAGCTACGGTTTAGAATTTTCTAATATTCCGTTGGAGAAAGTAATCGAGTCGCTCAGAAACCAACGCAGTCGACTGGGGTAAATTTTAATAGAATAAATAACATTCCTGTCAGTTATTAAAGGATAACTCGTGTCTTCGTTTGATCTAGGTGAGAAAGCCCTTCATAGCTCCTGTTGTAGTCATTTCACAAGTCAAGACAGGAATCTTCCCAATTTGTGTTCTAGACTCAATCTGCATCAGGTTCTCAGCGACTCAATTCCAATTCGAAGGATCAATCGAGAATATCGAACATTCAATGACCAATAATCCCTTTCAACATCGTTCATCCCTATCACAAAGAAATAACCGGCGCGAAAGCGCCGAAGAGCCGAGCAGGCGAACAGTTAACGATCCGTACCAACACGACCGCTCCCCGAAACCATTGAAACGCAGCCTGGAACCCCACGAACCCTGCGGTCACGTCGCAGACGTGACCCAGAACTCGAAAACAAATTTTTCCGTCGAATATCGTCGGGATCGTGTGGGATGTCCGCGATCTGTACGCGGAGGAAGAGTACGGCGCAGCGGTAAGACAGGTCCGGCGAGTGCTCCGGGGGGAAAGTATCGTTGCATTTTGATCGCGGAAGATCGTTACTCCCGATCGAGGCTCGGGCTCGCCTCTACGGACATGCGCGCACGTGCACGGACACACGGAGAGCCGCGTTTGTGCCGGGTGTGCGCACGCGAGCGCGCTCACCGACGAATGTACACGTCGGCTCAAAGTTAATCTGGATTAACCGGTCTTGAATTTTCTGTGCGGGGAGAGAGGGTGGCGCACGATGCGCAACGTTCGCCGGCGAACCGAGGGTTCCTCGGCGAGGGATGCGGCGGGGGAGGAGGCGGAGGTGGGCAGGGTGGGAGGGAGAGTGGACAAAAATCGAGATCAAAGAATTATGCCCTCTGGAGAGGCGCACCGGTTGCGCAGCGCCTCGCGCGAGCCCCGAGATGCCGGTACAGCCTGGACGTGTATTGTGTGCGCCTATCCTCGCCGCACGGATTCTGTATGAGTTTCTTGTTTAGCTGGCGGAAGCGGGCCTCCACGGATACGTAACGATTGCATTTGTTTCGTCTTATTCAGCGGACCATGAATGGCTCTCGCCGCTCAGCCTTGGAGCCTCGATCTTTCCTCGCTTCGCGGCCAAGCGGCGATGATCGCGCCGGAAACGGGAGTGTTCTGTACCGATAGCACACCGAGGGACGAGTCGAAAATCTGGGCTACGGTTTTCTCGTCGGACGATCCGTTCGCGAGATAATCGACGATCACGGGCCGTTCGTATTGGTTTTAGACCTCAAGTGGAAACGGTGATTCACGGACGGACGGGACGGTTCTAGCTTCATCGGAGCGGATAGGTTTTCTGGGAATATGTCTCGACGGGATTATCTTAGGAACGATTCGGTGCGCGACGGATTTTATGGTATGTTTTCTGTCCGGCTTTTTGCGTGTGATTTTGACCTTGCTTTCTAGAATCAAGTTCGTTGCGTTAGGTCTTCGCGGATCGTTGAACGCGGAGAATTCTTCTGGATTGTCTAAGGAATTCGGGGTGTAAGGTATTTTTGTTAGCGGTTGAACGATTGTTAGAAGTTTCGGGGTGACTTGTGCTAGAGATAACAGTGTTATTATGATCATAGTTGAAGAGATTAAATATAACGAGTACCGTGAAACATTTGTACAAACCGATTCACGTTAAAAGAAACTCTCCCGAGTGGACACTCGAATAAGCGATCGTTACAGTTGCAAATAACGGTCGTTCCCGAGGTTTTATACGTTCCGTGGAAATTTCGTGCGTGAAAGTGCAACTTCGCGAACGAACTGGCTCTCTGATTTACCTCAATTAACGACGGGCGCGGACTGCGCGAGGGAATGACAGAGAGAACGAAAGAGAGACGAGACGCTCGGCTCGCGCGCGCGCGCGTGTTTCGCTCCCGTTGCTTTCGTTAATTCGCACAATATAATTATCTCGCCCGCCTCCTTTATCCGTCGCGATTTAATAAACGCTATCCGCGACGAAATAAATCACGAATTCCATTCATTGCTCAAGCCGTTATAGCGGTTCTCACGACGCGCGAGTCATACGCGCTGTCGCCGTTAATGAGTCCGGCCATTCAGGTTAATTTAACTGGCCTAATTAGGATTCGTTTGCGAGCGTGCGCGCACACGAGCGCGTGCACGCGTTGCAGTGTCACCGGTTACGCGGCCAAGTAACAAGTAGCCGGTGACTAACGTTCCGCGCTATCGACGAGTCGGTTCTTATATACCGATACGAGCATCGATTATGTAAAGATATCGCTATTGTTCGGCCCGACTTTCTCCGATGAGAGATCGCCGTTTTTACGGGGATTTTTTTTCACTTTTCTTGTTAACGAGTCGACCGACAACTGCGCTCATCGATTGCCAATAACGAATTGCTAAACGTTCAAATCTTCAGAAGCTATGAAGAGGCCTTTAGATACGATTTTTCATTGTTACGAGTTTCGTAAAGATCTAGAAAGACTCTAAGACATTTATTACAGATCCTAATTCAATATACAAATGACAATTCAGTAAAATCTTCAGATGATTCTGCATCAGAAGCGAAGAATCCCGTTGAATTCACGAATAAACGAGACGTTCGAGTGAAATTTAACAAGCCGCGCCGATGTTGTGCACTTAAAAATTCATGCGTTGCGGTATCTAACAACGTGCGTCGGGGGACGAGCGTTCGAAGGTGTAAGGAAGGAAGGGGGGCAAAGAAACCACGGGGACTGCGCGTAAATTCTTTGATTAATTGACTCGAGCACGAACCGATGCATTAAATCGACGGAAATTAGGTGGAGACGGTGAGAAACAGAAACGTTTGAACAGCGCCGACGACAAAACAAATCGAACAGAGTCGTTTCGCGAATTTAATTGGTTCGATTAGAATTCGTTTGCGTGTACCAAGTCCGCGGAGCTTTTAATTCCGTTCGGTCGCTTTGAGAGCTGCCGTTTAATTTGCCGCCAATGATACTAAATCCGAGAAGAACGTCCGGTCGAATGTAAGAGGACGTCTTACATTCCTTACCGAAACTATCCCTCTTGCGTTTAACATTTTTCTCCGGCGAAACACGCCGGCGTACCTTCAATAGTGTGAATGCGCTCTATACGTAATACCCATCCGAGACCGCGGCGGTGCATCCACTCACGTGTGCATTAACGTTAGAACTACCGGACGAGTGAGAACGACCCATTCGAAAATTCGTGTTTTACAATCATTAAAATCGCCGGGATGCTTTTCTGAGGAATTATAAAATAAATTCTTCCACTTGCCGGGTTGCGACGCAACAATCACGGACGTTTCGAATCTCGAAAATCACAGTCCTCTGGTTTCTTACGGGAAATTATAAATAAGTTCGTCTAATTCCTTTGGTAGTTTCGATATTAAATCGAATAGCGTCAATGAACATTCTTTTCGAACTGCTTGCTACTTCGATTTTAAAGTACGAATTTTTATTGAGATTTCGATCGACTGGAAAGCTTCTTTGGCGTGTCAAAATATTAAAGGAACTACGAAACGTCACTTTCCAGTTGTCTAGTGGTTAAGGTGCTAATGCGAATAATTAGGACACAGGTTTATTTTTATAAATAATTTCTTCCTTGGCAAGAGTCCTATTTTCTTGTTTCGATGTTGACATACAATGAATTATAGTTTCCTGCACGGTACCGAGGAAAATTACAAGTTGGGAGCGACTGGAAATACTTTTCGTCTCAAATGGCTGGTAATTACGTTTCAGGGGCCAAGCGCGTCGAGTATGCGGCTATGTATGTTAAATATTCATAACGACACAGACTGGAAATGAAATTATAATCGTTCGTTCATGCGTCACTTCACCAAAATCGGTGGCTCCTCTGAGGCGCTTGCACAGTTTGTGGACGGAAGTGCCATTCGCGACTTTTGGCCGCAGGAAACGATTCAGCTGACAATGGTACGGACGTGCGTGGATATTCGTTGATATCGGCTGATGCACGTATACTTTAAATATCATTATTGCCAGTGGCATTCCTTCGGAGCGTCCTCGATGATAATTATCCGAGCATGATCCTCTTCAATGAAGGTCCCCGAAAATTATTTGCATATCTTGTTCACCGTCTTCCACCAAATTTAATCGTTTCTTTTAATCGATTATGCAGCTGCGCTCGCTTTGCCGTATGGGTATTGAGCGTTCGTTTCGAAACAGAATGCACCACGTCTGAAAAGGGTGTCAATGTTATTGAAAATACGAAAATGACGTTAACCCTTTGCCTCTCAGTTGCCACTCGATTTGATACAGCAAAATTATGAGCTTAGAAATTTGATGTTGACTCCTTCGTAAGGAGACATTTGTTATGTTAATATTCATTAATGTAATAATCTTATATCTGATCAGAAAATACTCCAGTGAACAACTGTTCGAGTGCAAAGGGTAAGTTCATTGGGACTACCGATCGATGCTCACAGGTTGTTAGGAGTGTTATCGCCGAATGGCACGTTCCTACCGCCATCGATCCTCTTCATTGTATCGCTATTGCACTCGTACGCCAGAAACGCGTTAGGATTCGTCAGACTCTCGGCGAATATCTTGGTGGACCTCTGGTGGCTGCAGACTTCTTGGAACGAAATTACACAACCGACTTAATCATTTAAATTTGGATTTTTGTGAAAATATCTGTGCTTCTATCGTTTCAGAAACTGTTGACGCTTTCCAGTTTCCACGTAAAACGATTGTAAACAGTGCGATCGTTCGATCGTTCCGTTTCTAAGCAGACAATAGTAGAGGCAAAGACAGATATTACGAGGATGACGAATAAATAAACTTGATTCGATTCCACGAACCGATAGGCTGCCACTTTTAGACAGTACGCCGGCGAACCGCCATCGCGCCGGTCGGCTCTCGAACGGTTAAAAACGAGAATAACTCACGATCGATATGCACGCGGAGGGTTGCGTTTCCCAGCGAGCGTGACGCGTTACTTTTTGATTTAAGGAATAATTACAATCCACGAATACCCGGTACGCTAATTAACCGTTCGATAGCGACTCGATAAAAGTGTGAAATACGGAGCTCGCGACGCGACGCCTTTGAAAACGGCGCGTCAGCTCGTGACGAATAATAATCAGCAGTCCGTTCAAATATCTTAAATGAACGCTTTATGAATTACAAAGATGACCGGTTGTCACGTTATAAGTGGCATGCTCGGTGTCCATTAAAATTCGCTACATTTTATCCCCGCGGGAAAGCTGAACGTGTTAACGACGCGTATTATGATTTACCTCCGCCAATGATTACAGGGCAACCCGGCTGAGGACTGACTCCCTTGTTCGCATAAAAATCGACGGATCCCGTGTCGATAGGCGTACCATAAAACCCGGCGTCTGTGTGGAGGATAACCACGTTCTCCGCGTCGCTCGCTCTAACGTGACACGTGGAAGGGTAGAACAGGGGGAACGCGGGATCTAATCCTGTGGCAAACGATTTCATAAAATATTATGTATAATAACGATGATAATGATTTAGGTGAGCGTAACGTAATATTATTAACACTTAGGCGACCGCCTAAAAAGGATCTCCTTCGTTATCTTTAATTGAATTCATTAAATTAATTCAGTTAGGAACTACGTTTTGTAGAAACAAGAACCGTGTTTGACGAATTGCAAATAATCGGACTTCAAGACTTACTAAGCAACAAGAGAGAAAATTAATTAAATTCAATACTAAGTGAAAACTGAGAGATCTCCCCATTCGTTTGGCTAAGTGTTAAAATATAGTGTTTTAGGAGTAACAGGGTGAACTGTAGAATAAACCTCCGCGAGTCTAGCGTTAATTGGTTGATCCCTCGCCAACGATACTCACGTAAACAAACAATGCTAGATATTACCTATTATCCGGCCGAGGGTGGTGTTCACAAACCTTCCAATGTGGCCGGCTATGTGAGCGCCCAAGGAGTGCCCGACCACGTGCAGTTTCTGCAAATCAATAACATTAGAGAGTTTCTCCAAAGCGCCGGCGACCGCTTTCCCAATCACAACCACTTGCTCGGAAACGTAGATGTAATTGATGTTCATCGTCACTTCGCTCCAATCGAGCGCGATTACGTTCACGTCTCCCCGGTCCAAAAATCCTGCGAACGCGAAAGCAAACACGGGGCACCTTGATTTCCTGAGTAAAATTATTCTGCTCTTCGCGTTCGTTGCACGGTACCTTTAACTACTACCAGCACATTATCGAAAATCGTGTTTTCCATAAACCCGTGTATGTACAGCACGGAGTTTTTCTTGGGATCGATGTCCTTCGCGATTTTCTGTGGATTCATTAGCGTGGTCGAGGTGGCGGTGAAATTGGAGCTGTCACTGGAACGACAAGGATATCGTTATAACGTTAATCATTCCTGATAGTTCTCTACATATGCATAAACGATGTTACAAAGCTGCATAAATGCTGCTCGTTGCATTCGGAAAAAAGTGTATTATTCAAATTATGCACATATTCTGTTTCTCGAGCTGATATTCCGAGATAGATTGTTATATAAAGGACAACACTGTATGGGTAATTAAGAGCCTGAAGCAAATTTAGATAATTCCTCGTCGTTGCTCGTGAATACGTTACACACGCGTTCGCTGTTGATACACACGGAATCCACAGTTTACTCGATGAAGTTGAATACGAACCCCTTGTAAACTTTTAGCCGAACTTCCTTAAAGATGAAAGGTTTATTCTGTAAATCACCTGCACAATAAACGTCATTCTTGAACGATAATCCCCTCGTTTTACAAAGAAACGTCTGAAGAATATTTATTGTTATATTTCGAACGTACATACTCTCGCGTGGACGATACCCCCGCCGATCAAGCAGAGGAGCACGCACAAGCGCGTGTGCAGCTTCACCATTGTTGTCCACTGTCAACGATCGTGAAATCGTGCACTACCGATTCGCTCCTGGGAATTTTCAACCGAACCCCTTTATGACCGTAGAGTTTTAACGTTATGAAATACATCGCGAGATCTTGTCAATATATAGAAACTTCCCACTCCATCATGCCGTCACGCAAGCAGGAAGAAACGTGAACGATAATAAGGTAATTGTGTGAATACGTTACGTCCGCGGTAGTAATTGCACCTGATAACAGGTGACAACAGAAAAACAAATAGCTGTCGAGCAATTAACCGACTCGATCGATTAAGCCATCGAATAATTTTTCTCTCCTAAGCAATGGACGTCTGTTCGCATAAACACGCTCTGCATATGAAACAGCCGACAGACGTGTGAATCGTTTAACGCCTTTTCGATATTCCTGATTTTCGAGAATTTTTGTGGAATCGGTAATATTCTGTTCAGTTAAAGGATTAACTTCTGAAGAGTTGAGGCTTTGAAACTTTGAAGCTTTGTTGTACAATCATTGCAGAAACTAATTAATTTCCACAATGTTTGTTTCCTGACTCGTACACAAAAAACTTGGATCAAATAGGCAAGTATAAATATTGTGTAATTCATGGTAATTTGTTGCTCCCATTGTGTCAGTAACAATGAACAGATTTCACGTGATGCATACGATGTCCTACGTGCACGATGAAATGAATATCGATGTATATTGATAAGAAATGGCAATAAATACTAAGTCGCTACTGGAACGAGGCTAGAGTATGATTCATCAACCCCTTTGAATGATTGTGTACTCCCTGAAAAGAAGGCAGTGGAGGGGTAAATTATATGGAACAACTGAAATGAAATTAGGGAATTAGAGCAGAAAGAAGCTAGACTGGTAAACCGCAGAGTTAATAAGGTACTTTACGGTAACGTTGTCCCTAACAAGAGCACAATTGGATTACGTATGTTGCATGTATTTTTCAGAGCGCGGCAGAATTTCGCATAACGCGGAAGAGAACTTACTATGCTCACGTAATCGTCCTTGAAGGTATTCAGCTGGATCGCGAACAACAAAATCGAAAGAAAAGCGAAAGAGAAGCTATCTGCAAGGGAAGTAATCGAACTCGGAAGTTTACGCATGGTGAAGCTTTATCTATAAATAGAGTAGGTCAAGTCTAATACACTGCAATTTATTTACAAATGCAAATGGTGTTTTCGCGTCAATTATCTTCGGATAACCGGTAAAAGATTGTGTAAAGAGTTTCAGTAAAAAGTACGCATATGAAACTGCGCAATAAAATGTTTTTCTTAGACTTCGCTTACTCTAGGTATACACAAAGTTGCAATGTTTTTCGTGTTTCAGGGTCAATAACTTTCTTGTTTCGACAATTGAAACGGCAACGTTGTTTCTTCGTGTCTTGTTGACGATTAACGTGCAACAGATGTTGTCGACTCGTTCGTGTCATCTGTGGCATTTATGTATAAACAGTTCAGGACGTGAGTTGATCACAGTGTCGCAAACGTGAGTGTTTACGTCGTTCCTTAGGATCTCGAGTATCAGGTAAACCGGTCGCAGACGGAAATAACGTTACGAGTGTGATTGTATTGGACATATCGGAGAAGTTGCTTCGAAGTTTTGAGTTCTGAAGTTCTGAAGCTCTGAAGCTTTGAAGTTTTGACTTCTGAAACTCTGGAATCCTAACTTCTAAAATTCCGAAATTCTGAAGCTCTGAAGCTTTGAAGTTTTGATTTTTGAAATTCTGCAGTCCTAACTTCTGAAATTCTGAAGTCCTGAAGTTCTGAACATTCAAACTCATATTACAAATTTATTGGGCATCACTTTACAAATTTACAAAGTGCAAAAAAAAGCCGTCGATTTACGTCTCCGGTCGTAAACGTGTTAATTGACTCTTCTGGGTCGGCCGATATTCGTCGGGCGAATGGAACGGTTCGCCCCCCGTGGGCGTTCGAAGATTAGAGCGACACGTGAATACCGACGAATACGTGCCAGCTCCGGCGCGAAACATCGACCATTAATAACGGCGTGTAACGAGTATAGTTTAAGCGCGGGTACCGGCATGTCTTCCTCCTACCAACTTATGCTCTCGTAGGTTTAAACATCTGCATCCCGATGTCGTGATATCACGCCAGCTTCGGTTCTATATACGGGGTGGTACGCCACGAACGGATTTCACTTACGTCTCCCCATATACCGAGATTATAGAACATTTCAAAAATTATTCTTAATTTTAGTCACTCTATTAAAAGTTCCAAAAGAAAATTAATCAACTAACAGCTGAATACACGCATCATCAAGGCTACGCGTTATGAAACAAACTCCGAATGTACCTTATGTAAGCCAGAGATCAAATAAAATAGGATTTCAAAATGTCTCTTCTATAATTCAATTTTCTATATTTATTAAACTGTCAGAATATTTGCAGAGTTCATACGTTCTATAATTGTTTGTTCTATAATTCACTCTCCGAAGCTTAAGGCTTCGAGCGATTCGAGATTCCAAATTTCGTAGGAGTCAAATAAATCTAGCAAAACGTGCATCGAGTCTGAAGCGATTAACCAACGATGCACTTCAACTTCATTCAGACTTCACCTATTGAATTATGGCGAGGCTCGAAATCGCAGTTTCCCAACAGGAAGTAAGTGTGGTTTTTTAACGAATTTTCATTTTCACCGGCGACCTACACTGGAACCAATTAATCCTTGTCGGAGTACAGTTTTCGTTTGAATGGAACAGTGGAAATTAAGGTGGCGCGCTTCTGGTGGACTGTGCAGCGTGAGCGCCTGCCTACGTGATAGGCGAGTGGGCCGGCGAGTAGGTCGTTTGTGTATTAAGCATAATACGTTCGCGGTTGCGACCCGATGAACAAATCATCGTCGCCGCTAGGAGCCGGCGAATTCCCTTTTCCTCCGAGAATTTCATCGCCTTCGAACTCCTCTTCCTTCCCTTTCATTCGCTTCGCTGTTACATGCGCAGGAAGTTGCGTGCGTCAGAGGCCAACAATAGGACCACGGAACAGGGCAGGTGTAACAACGAAGATAATAGTAACGTAATTCATTCGGAGAAGGTTAATCGAAGGTACCAAGCGGACTTCTTCCATAGAAAATCAATCTCGAAGATTAGTTGCGTGAAACTTGAACGAGTTCAATCATCCCCGGAAAGTGAACATTGAGATCTGAAAGTTTGCTAACCCCTTGTCTTACAAAATACTAATCCTACTAATTAAATTAGTAATACAATGATTTACTTGTTTCTATTATCAATCCTTGGAGTAAACATTCAAAATCCCTATCAATCTTCCGCCATTTTCGAATCGACTATTAACACGTTGACGCTCACTCTGAAGTCGATGACGGACAAATGCTCTTTGTTTAATTAGTCGATTCTTGGGGAGTTCAATTAAGATTTCATATTGTCAGAATAAAATTCTTGTTTCATCTATAATACTAAGAATACGACAGCCATTTACATTCACGAGCATCGGACATCTACAGACATTTACGTTAACGAATGTCGTAAATCATGTGACGTAAATCATGATCCCTATAAGTTAGATTTTCTATTATATGCACTTTATAATGCTGTCCTTGAAATAATAAATTCTGCAATCTATATAAACGGAGTGCAAAGGGTTAAAACTTCGGTGAATTCCGTGCACGCCCGCGGTTTTCGAATTAGTGCGACCACTTCACAATAGGTGGCGCGCGCGTGGTTTCAACAAATGCGCGTACTTCGTCTAGTTCGCCATAGTTCGTGTGTTTCCTGTGGAAGAGTGGGCACGCTTGGCAGAATTCAATTGAAGCAAATGCAAACAGCAAGATTTCAGTGGTTGCGTGAGCCAGCATGAAATTGAAGAGCACAAGAACGAAGTCGCGGGCAACAGGTAGTATCTAATAATACAAATTCGCTGGGTGTTCCGCGGTTTAATAAACTCCGTGCCCTGAGCGTAAAGCAACGGCGGAGGGTCAAAAGGAAATAAAGGGCGGGAGTAAAGTAGCATCCGAGACGATCCCGGCGAGCCGGTACCGAGTAACACGTTACAACTTCTGCGAACGAGCGTATAATTCTAATCCCCGCGCGAATCAAATTCGCGGGAAGCCGCGCGGCGCGCGTAATTTTCGCCGTATCCGGCCGCGCGTTCGGCTAATCCTCTCGGCGACAAATCTCGGACGGCGTTCGTCGCGGTGCCCGCCGCAATAAAATTAGGCTACCACGTATAATGTGTCCCGACGCGACGCGCGCCGTGATTTCTCATCCCCCCGCGAATTATCTCTGGCAATTCTCGGCTACGCGCGACGCATTAGTCACGTCCACCGCGGCGGGGATTTGACTTATACTCATCCACGTAATCCTTCCCCGCGCGATCGGTGATCCCCTCGCCGCGGGCACGCCGGTGTCTAGCTCGCGGGAGAAAAACCGTTGGTAACAATAATTCCTTGACTTTCGTCGCGGTCGTATCAGAGAAATTCGATGGATGTTCTGTAACGGTTCGCTCGTGTGTATTGTGCCTTGATTGTTTAAGGCTTGGTTGGGTTTATGCTACTATGCTTTTGTAAAAAGATCTGCGTCTGTCTGTCTTTTAATGATAATATAGACAGGTTTTAAAGCGTAATAATTTTATTGGACAATATACATTACTTTGTTGAATTTGGACTATCTCATGATGTGACGTTCATTTATTTGTAGATATTATAGTGTGAACGTTAATGGTTTTTATTGCAAATTTTGGCGCCTTCGCCGAATTGGGGTTAAGTCGATTTTCTGATTTCTGTCAATTTTAATGGAATATATTCTTATTAGTTATTCAAGGATTTACTTCGTTCTTCGTTTTGCTCTAGGTCAGAAATTCCTTATAGCTTCTAAATCTTTATAAATAAAATTGAATGTTTGTTTGCTTGTCTCGTATGCGTTCCGAAATCAGTCATCTGATTGCAATGAACTAGCGAGTCGCGCACGCCCTGAATTAGTGCAACCATTTTACAATAGGTGGCGCGCGAGTCGTTTGAACAAATGAGTGTATTTCATCTAGCTTAGCGGCAGTTCATGTGTTACCGGTGCAAGAGTGCACGCTTTGCAGAATTAAATTAAATGAAATACAAACAGTGTGAAATATATTATCCTATTAAATTGAAGATCATGAAGAACGAAGTCGCAGGCAACAGCTAGTACGTTATATAACCATTTCGAAACATTAATTTCCTTAATATGTCTTCTCTACACTCAATCACATTAGCTTCCGAGCGACTCAATCCTTAACACGTTAATCGCCATGACAGTTACTGGTAACCGACACTTTTGAATTACTCGAAAACAATCGTAACATACAAGGTAACCGATGTGAAATGAAAATACTTAATAACGTAACTAAGTTGATAATACTGTAATGCAAAGATTCCAACGCCAAACAATGAACAATTGTCCCTGCCTTTCTTTGCTACGAAAGAATAACTCCAAGGAAAAATCGTCAAACTTTTCATGGCGCTTAACCCTTCGCACTCGAGAATATTTTTCTCAATAAATATTCATTACTTTCCGATGAAATGTCAATGATATTCTTTACAATTAACATAAAGAAATACCTTGTATAAACTAAGTGACAGAATCACTAGTGAACCTAGTGCTAATGAAATGAATTATAGTAACCCGACGTGGGTCACCGGTGACCCTCGTGACATTCAACCCGTCGCAATCGGTTCTCCAAAAAATACTGAATCTCTCTAACCGTACTGCCTTCCCAGTAACACAGAAATTCCAAAGTTACCCTTTGTTCGCAGCGGAACGTCGGAGCAGTCTCGTCGGTGTCGCCATCTGTTCCGCCGTCCCCGTCCGCGGTAATGACCGCGACCGGCGACGAAGGGAGAGCCGGCAGCCTCCGTTCGCGTTTCTTCTGACGTTCAAGTAACACAGAAACGATCCGTGCACTTCCGGCGCGGCGATTCACAACCTGGGAGGTGAGTACGGTTGAATTAACTTAAGCTAACGCCTCGTTTGCCCTCCGCCTCGGCCGCGGCGGGGTGGGGTGGGGCGCGCTGCGCCCGGAGATGGTAGCGGCGAACTCGAGGAACGGACCCTCACGGGCGAAGAGGATGGGGGGCCCCGATCGGGCCCGCGTGCACCACCAACGGCAATAAAGCAACAAGACAATGACGGTGATTTACGCGGTCCTACGGCGAATGGGCTTACCTAGATTTTTGCGCGAACAGCACGCGTCGGCGACGGCGAGCGCGGGAGGTGGGGCCAATTTATTAATCCCTCGCTGCCCCCCGTGCCCCGCCGCTCGCGACACGTACGCAGATACGATGAGACCAGGTGCCTCGCGCGTTATTTATTTAGTTTATAACACCCCGAGACCCACCGCCACGAATCGCCCCGGGCCCTCCCGATGTTTTCTCGCCGTTCTTACGTAATCGAGGCGGTCGTTTGCAATGCGACTCGCTTTTTCTCGGGGGGAACCGGGTGGCCGCTCAGGGGATCGTTCGGGATCGTTTGTATTTGGACTACGAATCTCCAGGTGTTCTCTTTTCGGAATTATCTCGCCGGGATTGGAGTCGGTTAGGCTTCAGACCGAGGGGAACGTTTATTTCCGAGATTAAAATGTTGATTGCGAGAACGGCGGGGCGGTTTGTAAGGTCCCAGTCGTTTCGAGGCGACCGTTAATGTTCGTTTTACTTTGTGTTGTAGGATTATAAGGTTTTATTGTATTCATGCCGATGCGAGGAATAGAATAAGTTTTTAGGAATGTCTACCTCGAACGTTCAGTATTCTTAGTGAGAAGCTTCAGTAGGAGCTCTTGCTGTAGAGGTCTTAATTGCATGGTGCAATTACCTTTTTCTAAACAGGGATCTAAACGAGTACAACCAACAGTTAAAACAAAGATAAACATCCAATTTTCCTTGATGACCAAAGAATTGTAAGTACTCCGGATATATGTTCGTCCAAGTAACGACGCCGTTTATACAACGAATCAACCATTCACTGCGTCGTCCGAGTAACACACCTTCGTGAATCAACGACTGTTGATCATAGGACAGCACGGTGAAGTCAGCAAGTCTACTGAGTTCCGCATTATACTCTATTTCTCGCCCAAGATTACGTACCGCGTCTCCAACCGCGAATCTTCTCACAGGATCCAACATCGCTCCCTCCTCCATCGATCTCGGAGCGTTTCCTGAAGATCGCCGATCGCCTGCGCCGAGGTACAGGCCAAGCAGCAAGATCCAGCGCGAACGCTCCGTCCCTATGACACAGAGAGCGCAGAATAACGGGCCGCCGCGTTGCATACGGATCCTCGTTGCACAGAGGCGCTCCGCGCGCTGTACCTCGCATAGCAATGAGCTGCTCGCCTCCTGCCTCCCCTATCGGCCGGCGATTTTTCCCCCGGGTCGGCCGGTGTTACATCAATGCATTGTCGTTTTTCGATCGGACACATTCTGACGGTTTACCCTCTGCGTCGTAAAAGGCCGTGACATCCTTACCGCGAGAGACAAACGAAGAAATAGCACCGACATGGTCCCGCGGTACACCGTTAACCCAACCCAACACTCGGTCCTCCCTCTCCGTTCCTCCGTGGCCACGCTGAGGAGCGATAGAGAGAGAGAGAGGAAGGTCGCGGACGATATCTACGACATGCCGATTCCGCATGAACGGGCAGAAAATACGATGCTGTATCGTTCCCCTCGGCCAACCCTTCTACGACCCCCTCCCAGCGCCCCTGGCCCGCGGAGCATATTTATTACCCAGGAAACAAAATGGCAAGTGCACGGTAGAGGCTCATTTGCAAGATCTACCTAAATCTGCCGGGACTGAGGGGGGGACGGGTGGCGCAACCACCGGTAGCCGGTCTTAATGGACGCCGATCGGGAAATATTTATCTTTGTTAGGCCTGGTTTCTTTACGCGGAACTGGACTGGACGTCGTTTCACGTGCGCCGCTGGAATGACACGCGGTGGTTGGTCTCCGCGTCTTACTGGTTCTGTTCCACTTTGACGAACGGTTCCACAGGAAGCACCGCGGCGATGGCTATTTTCGGCCGGGACCGATTTGCATCGGCGAGTCTAGGATCGCCGGGGATTGTTCGCGATGCGCGTATATATTCAGAAATGGAAATGAATGCGGAGGATCGGAGGCTGGTGATAAGGACTCTCCTGTGTGCGTTCGTGAAACGTTCGCGCGCTGAGCTGTGGGTTGCTAAGTCTAGGCGAGAAAGTAAAGGTGGAATTAGTCCTTCGCACCTGGGAGGCGACTATCGGTCGTTGATCGATTTAATTTACGTTCCTGTGTTTTCTCGTTAGTCGAAGGAGATATTATTGGACATAGAATTGGCAGTGGCAGGCATCTAGCGATTAGATCAAATGATCATTAATGATCAATTGTACTGGACACGGTTGGAAGTAGTACTTTACTCAGTAACTTGGGAACTTTAAATCTATTCTCGGTGACTGACAATTGTGCTGTAGTCAAACTGTTTCCGATACTTTCCTCAAATGAAGAAATCGTACTCGATGTTGGTAGAGTATAAGAGTCGAAGATATTTGTCTTGTGACGGTGACAGTGAACCGACTTCGAGAAAGTTGCTCGAAATCTTTCTCTCCTAGACAACAATTATACGGTGTCCATTTCGACGACAGTAACAGCGACCGTTTCTCCGGATGCTGGCCGCAGTTTAGGCCAGACGTAACGATCAACGCTCGGAAACGACACCTCGGCTTCGCTCTCGGACAGGTAGCAGCCCAAGCTCCTTGCTTTCGTTTGACGCGCGGCCACGCGGCGAGGACGGCAGCGAAGGTGCAATGCTCCGTTGAACGTCTTAACCGGTTGCCTTGGAAAAGCTTAGGAATAATGGCCACTCAAGATACCGCGCGATTACCGCTCCGCCGTGTCACACCCTCATATTCTTTCGACTGCTAGGCGCGCCGTTCCCGCAGCAATATCTTTTGTTCCAGGCAACGGGCTCGAAATAAAATGGACTCTCCGTTCGCCGGCTTGTTCCAGAAGCGCGATAAATCTCCCCGACGCCTTCGGGATCCTCTTTCACCCGCCTCGAGTCGAAAATGATTCGGCTGATCGTTTCAAATGCAGTAGAGAACGACGGTGTCGTTAACTCTGGAGACTCGAATATTTTTAACGCTACGCAGATTCATAGAAACGTCAATTTAGGGGACGTTATGTTCCATGAATATTGTTGGGGAAAATCTTGCGTTGATTCTGATTGTAGTAATTTCATGTCTCTTGATCCCTTTTGAATTGAAATTGTTCTATGGAAACTCGAACAGTGCTACTATTCAGATTTCAGAATCAATGTCTGAGAAGCTAATACATACTCTCGAATCTAAAGAAACGAATAAGGTTCGACAGAGATTCAACGGTGAACGCGTTATGGCTCACTTTGAAACCGATGATGGACTACACAAGCAATTTTTCTTTTTGTCAAGTGGTTCATTCTCGCTAGACCAGAAGCGTGTCACTTGTGACGCGATAAGGGCGGAGACTATCGCTACGAGAGATCCAATCGCGGGTCCGCGAACGACTGTTCGCGCCCTCTGTCTCGCTCCGCGATTGGCGGGCGCGATCGCGTCAGCCAATCAGGCGCGCGCGTTCAACTCCGACCACTCGGACGAGAGTGCCAGGTTCGCTGCAACGGACGGCAAGAGCTGCGCCCGTGGCCGGGCGGCATCCCCGAGAGCGTTCGCCGGTGGAACGCCGCGCCGGGCGAGAGACCCGGTGCACGCGTGTTCGCCGGCGGTCGCGCGCAGCCGGGGACCCGCCAGCGGAACCATAAACACGAGCAACGAGGCCAGAG